GGATTTAACTTTTGCCGAAGCCCGGAAAATTTGTGAACAGCATGATAACTTGATGAAGGCTACTTCCAGCGAAGCAGTCACATTATTCCAACGGCAGAAGACTCCACCGAATCGACCTCCAACGGCCAAACGTGCACCAAAGGCACAGAAATATTCCCCAAGTAAGGACAAACGAATCAATCCATGTTTGTTTTGTGGAGCTCACCACCTGCGCTCCAATTGCCGCTTTCGTAATGCCAAATGTCATGCTTGCAAAAACATTGGTCACATTCGGAGAGTATGTAAACAAACTCGTTGCAATCTTACACAGCCAAATGCTTCAAAGGACACACATCTTGTGCTCTCTCTACGTTCTGTAGGCCCAGCCACCCAATTTCTGTACCGAGATGTGACATTACAGTCTGATACAACTCACAAATTCATTGTTGAAACGGGAAGTACGGAATCTATTATTTCTAAGGCTGTGCTTCGATCCATATGCCCCCAAGCAAAAATCCAACCGACATCCATGCGAATTCTTGGTGTAACTGGACACCGATTATCGTTGATTGGCGAGGTTTCATTGATGGTTCACTCAACAGAAAATCGCCTTGTCCCAATCCGCTTCTTTATTGCGAAAAAGAGTCCATCCACACTTGACCTAACTGAAATTCGCGCTATGAACCATTCTATGTCGCTCGATACGAGTCCCTGCCCAATGTGCACACCCATCTACAGCGACTGATTGTGCAAAGTTCAACTAACACAGAAGGCATGAAAGTCCGAATGGCCAAACTGGAAGTTGAGGGAGAACCTATCTTTTTGAAACGCCGTGTCATTCCCTATGGCCAGCGTGAAGGTGTGTTGAAAGCTCCGGAGAAAATGGAGCATGACGGCATCCTCACCCAAGTGACATTCAGCGCGTGGGCAACACCAATTGTGATCGCAATGAAAAGTGATGGTAAGACACCAAAAATTTGTGGCGACTACAGACTAACACTCAACCCTCGGCTGCGAAAGTGTGCGACAATCACCATGAAACCAAAAGACTTCATGAAAGCTTTACATGGCAGCACATATTTTTTGAAGATTGACTTGGCCGACGCCTACCTCCAGATCCCGCTTGAACCCGCATGCCGCCAATTCACCACGATCAATACACCATGGGGATTATACGAGTACAACTTTCTACCATTTGGTCTCCACACATCCTCCGGCATATTCCAGGCGCCCATAGACGAA